TTTTAATAATTGGTGTGTGGGTACTTTGTATTTTAAATATAATTTGGGTGTGTGATGAAAGGAGTAAGGAGTGTGCGTAAGTTGGAGGTTATGATGTCGGTTACGGTGGCATCAATACTGTCGGGTGGAAGGTTGACACGATTACACGGGTGTGAGGCACGTGTAGCGTTCATGGGTAACGCGTGGGATGCGGTGAAGGTGGTGGTATTGTGTCCGGATTCTGACCGTTGTGCGCCGTACTTTCCAACTTACAACTGGTTAAAACGTTGGAGCCGTGTGCGTATATGGTATCCCCCGGGTAGTTTGTCTCAGGAACAGTTACGTGTGGAGTCATTGTTAGCGGAGATATTGTACCATCAACTCATGGACCAGCGTGCGTCTACCTACGTGGCCATGCGCGTGTTCACCGAAGCTTTCACCAAACCCGAAAATGCCCGACGCGGTCTCGAAGCAGCCGCCAGACGAGGGGGCCTTCTGCGCAGTCCGTGCGTAGGTGTCGGCGGTCTCGCCGGCCCCTTTGCACCCAAGGTCGCAAAGAAACTTCAAGTCGTCAACATAAGACATCTTGAGACTGACGAACTCTCACAACTCTTTCCTACACTGCCTCCGACCTGGAGACCCTTCTTCCGACACTTCAGCGGCTGGAGGAGGTCCGCTAGATACGTCCAAGAAGAACAACCCAGAGTTAGGGAACTAACTACCGAAGAATGGTGGATCGACGGAATCACTCGTGCTTGCGGCTTCATAAGCCTCCGCCTGGCCTGGTTGTTCCCGGGAGGCCTGCTCAAATACTTCCCCGCAGGGGTCCCCCACCCGGGCCCCATGAATGCCTTCGGTTACGTTGATCATTATTATTGACGTTGGTACCGCGTCCAAACACCCAGCCCCCATTCGGTTCAGCACCACTCGGTTCAGCACCAGTGTGGTTTGGTTGGAGTTACACTTTTTGGTTCAAAAAAACTGAACAAAGTGCTTCCGGTACAGATGTCCTGTCCTGCGGGGTGCGACGATGTTGTGCGACGATGTTGTGCGAGAACGGGTGCGAGGTGGGGATAGATATTGTGGATAGATATTGCGCGTCTATTGTGCAGAAAAATCTGTAGTCCTTACTAGGACTTTTTCTTGGCGCCCGTTTTGGGGCGGCTGGCACGTCGCCGGGCAGGTCTGCGGCGCGCGTCTTCATCTTCATCGCTGGTCGCTTCGGCCCGGGCGACGTCTGCTCGCGTTTGGCGTCTCCGCGGCATTTCTTCGCTCTCGCTCGAGTCAGCATCATCGTCAGAACGTTTCGCCTTCGCCTTAGCTTTCGCCTTCGCCTTACTCTTCGCCTTCGCTTTCGCCTTCGCCTTCCCCTTAACCACCTCCGTCCCCTTAACCACCTCCGTCCCCTTAACCACCTCCGCACACGCAGGCTCCAATTCAGCCGGCGCAGCCACCGGCGTCGACTCGTACGGACGACCCGAAGTTGAGTCTACCGACCGCCCCGAAATTAACACCGTCGTCAACGAGTCCCGCGGCTTGTGCCGCACTGCCGGCGTCCCCGTCGCCGCCGGCGGCTCCGGCGCCGGCGCAGGCTCCGCCTTCCGCCCTCGCCGCGTCCGTCCGCGACCACGCGCCACCGGCTCCGTCGCCGAGTTTTTACGAGCACGTGTACGCCCCCGCGGCTTCGGCTCCGGCTCGTCCTCCTCCGTGTCTTCTTCGCGCCGCTCCGGTCGCTCGTGCTGCTCCGGTCGCTCCGGCTGCTCCAGTCGCTCGAGCTGCTCCAGTCGCTCAGGCTGCACCAGTCGCTCAGGCTCCGGCTCGGGTCGCCCGGGCTCAGGCTGTTCCGGTTGCTCGGGCTGGCGCGGGTGTGTGCGGACAACCGCGCGCAGTTGGAGGGCGGGTACACGCACTTCAGTCATGCCGCCGTGGGTGACATCGGCCAGCTCCGTGCCGGCCTCGAACCTGGGGGTGGGCGCCTCTGTTTCGACTTGGACTTCAGTCTCAGGTTCGGCGAAGAGCGGTGTTGGTTGCTCGGCGCATCTTCGTGGCGTGTCTTCCGGATCGGAGTCCGCGTCTTCGGACGCGGCCCCTTGGCCCGATTCTACGTTGTCAGTTTCGGCCTTGGCGGCGATTTCGGTCTCGGTGACATTTCGGGCGTCGGGAGTTTGGAGTTCGGTATCTCGCGGGGGGACCTCCTCCGGCTCAGGTTCAGGTTCCATGTCGACTTGGGTGGTCTGTGGCGGTAAAGGCTCTGGCTCGGGCCTGAGTTGGTTTTCAGCCTCGGATTGGATTCGAACGCGGGGTTGTTCGGTTAGGAGAGCGGGTCGGAAGGGGGGAGTGTTGGGTGAGAGGGTGGCGGGGGGGGTTTCGACGGCGCGTATGCGTTTGAGGACGCTGGGTAGTTCGTCTTCAGCAAGGTCTGGTTGTCGAGTGCGTTTAACTCCGCGTCGGTCGGGGTCAATACAGAGTGCACACGCGTGTGCCGCGCCGGCGGCGAGTTGTAGGACCCATCGGTCGTCGAAGAGTGTAGGTGGGACGAGTGTGGGAACGCGCACGAGTTCGTCTGGACAGGTCCCGTTGCCGAGTTGGAAGCTGTTAGCTTCGCCCCAGGCGAAGAGTCGGCCTTCGTGTGTGAGAGCGTAGTGGCACTTGGAACCGACGGCTATAGCCCGGCATTTGTGCCTGAGACCGGGCACGGTCTTGGGGGCAGCTACGACTTGACCCGCGCTGGCGACAGCAACGGCGGCCGCGACTATAGTTGTGGGCGCAACGTCAGTCATGGGAGCTATGACTGCCCGTTCAGACTTGGTCGCGTGTCCAGCGAGGTCCGCTTTGCCCCAGGTCCAGACTGAGCCGTCAGAGGCGAGCGCGACAGCGGTGAAGTCACCACCGGCAACGACTTCGACGCTGCAGAGCGCAGGCACACTCACAAGTGTCGGCGTATGCATAGCTGGCGCCGTGAAACCACCTCCGAGCTCGCCATAGCAACCTCGACCCACAGCAAACAGATATGTCGCATGCTCCGCGTGTAACTTCAGATACGTGGTTGCCTTACCCGCAAAAACTCGCAGCAACCTCGCCTCTTCGGGCACCGGCACAGCCTCAAATGTATGCTCCGAAAAGTCCCGACCAGCTTTCGCAAGTCGCTGGAAACGGAGCTGTTTTAACTCTACTCGTCGTGGTCGCAGCGACTCCTGTCGCATCCATAACGGAGCATCCTCCGCCGGCGGGGGCAGACACAGTTGTCCGAATTCTGTTGATCCCCATACAACCAAGTGCCGCGCTCCATCTGGCCTCTCCGCTACGACTATTGTATGGTTATCGCCCGACGCAATATCTATTGCCACACCATCCAATGGTACTTGTATTGGGACCAACTGCTGCCTTAGTATGGGGTTCCCTGGGGAGGGTGCAGAGTCCGGGGCAGAAGTCAGGACTTGGTCGAGGGTCTGGTCTCCTTCGAGGTTGAGTGCTTGTTCGGGGTGCGTTGCAGCTTGGAGGTCTGGGAAGCCGAGGGGACCGTAGTAGTCGCGGTAATGGCCCCAGGCGAAGCAGTTGCCAGTGTCGGTAATGACTGCGGCGTGTGAGTCGCCTGCCGATATTTTGACGATGCGTTCGGAAGGTGGAAGGCCCCAAACTCTCTCGGGGACTTTGCCGGTTCGAATCTCGGCACTGGCCGGCCGGTCCTCTTGGCGCCAGACGGCCTCTGTGTCGTTTGTCCGTAAAACAGGTCGCCCAAGGGGCCCATCATCGGCACAACCCCAGGACCAAAGTTGATCGTCCTTGATACAATACGAGGCCAGACTCCCACAACAGACCTGCGTCACACTCTTCTCGCAAAACGCTCGAACCGGACAAGGGGTAGATCGGTTCCCATACTCGTCTAAGAACTCACTCCGTAAAGGCAACTGCTCACAGTCACCACTACCCCATGTTAACAACACACCCGGCACAGGTTGCATCGGACTACTCAACTCAGTATCCACCAACTCTTCCGGCCGACATCCTACCAGTAGATCATCCGTCCGAGCAGGCGTCGTCATCGCACGACAGAATCCCATTACGCCTCCTATCGCCCCGAAACTCAATGGCGAAGTACTATTCTTATCGCTGGCGGTAGCCGTGATGGCACCGGTCGTGCTAACACTAGTAGCGACATTGCCGGCGGTGGTATTGCCGGCGGTGGTATTGCCGGCGGTGGTATTGCCGGTGGTGGTATTGCCGGCGGTGGTATTGCCGGCGGTGGCATTGCCGGTGGTAGTGCTCGGTTCGGAGAAAAGACTTCCTGACTCTGCACCCGGCGCAAACGAGATGCGCCCTCCCCCATCCTGACTCACTGCTATCTCACCGCCTACGCCGAAGAGAACAAGTTTCTCAGAACCGTCTGGACCCTGGTCTTCAGTAGGCTTGTCGAAGATGCTCGTGCGGCCCCGGGAAAGAGCCTCAGCACCAGACGCGCCAAAGGTGACATTCGGATCAACGACAAAGGGCCTCGAGTCGTGGCCGCACGCATCACACTTGGTCACAGAGTCGTTCGGATTGAGCGTCCTGCACGACTCACATCGCCAAGTCATTTTTTCAAAAGAGAAACCGGAGAAGGCGAGGCGGGAGAAACCGAAGGTGGAGAGAGCCAGGGGTGGTCAGGGGAAGTGGGAGTAGTCAGGGGAGGTGGGGGGTGGCCAGGGATAGTCAGTCCAATCCGTCAGCATGGGCTAACAAAAAATGGGTGCAAAATTATTCATGCTCAACTGGGGATTACTATGTTGGGGTTTGGCGGTGGGTGCCTCTCTTCGCTCACAAAACCCCGCAAACCAACGCGTGGACGAAGTCAAGGTCGTGCAAAGCAAGACAGGTACCACACAGCGTGAGACAGGGACTATAGTACTTAATACAGGGATGGTGGGAACTGGATGGAGAGGAACCGCAGCACCTCAGAGAGGGATGTTAGCTCACGAAATAGGGATGATGAGATCTGTAGTAGGTGTGGCGGGGAATGAGGTTGGGTCAGTAGGTCGTGAGGTTGAGTCAGTAGGTGGTGAGGCTGGGTCAGTAGGTGGTGAGGCTGGGTCAGTAGGGCGTTCTGTGAAGGAGGGTTCGGTGTCATCTTCTTCTTCGACTACGACTACTGCGTCGCCGACGGTTCGTTTGACAGTGGCTTTGAGAGGTGACGAGGGAGTGGAGCGTTTGGATGACGTGTGGGGCGACTATCAGTGGCACGATGCGGTGCAAGAGCATTGGCCGTGGAAGATACCGGCATTGTCTGTGGTGCGGCCGGGTTCGAATGTGCGTGAGGGACATGTGCCGAGTCCGCGTCCGTTATCTGTGTGGCAGCCGGAAGATTATACGGCATCGTATGAGTGGGTGGGTGAGGCGTTGGCGAACCGTACATGGCCCACATTTGCTCCGTTTGTATCATATGGTCCTAACGAGGAGGGTGAGTATGGTCACTGGTCGTGGAAGTCCGCGAATCCGATCCAGCCGGAGGCAGACGGGCATGTGGAGAGGGTGGATTCGAATGCGGGATGGCAGGTAGACAGTGATGGTATAGTGCTGCCGGAGGAGTATGTGTTCCAGCATCGGAAGTTCAACAGGACGGAAAGCACATTCGTGATAAAGTATTACGAATTAAGTGTGAAGAGCGACGAGTGTGGACGGTACTTGAGAGAGAGCTGCGATGGCTGGGGTGTCCGCAGCGATAACGGGTACGGATTTATATTGGACAACGACCCCGCCGTAGAACACTGTCTCGGTGCCGTACCTGCTACTTGCGTTGTGAGCGTCAGCGGCTATTGGAACTTTACCGCCCCTCATGCACCAGACCTATGTTGCTCCAATGTCTTCGGCGTACGGCTACCCTCACCCGGACATCTTGTCCCACGGCAGGAATGCGTCTACGGAAACATCACCGTACATAACTTCGCCCCACTAGGCTCTCTGCGCGACCAATACGCACTCACCGGCGGTACAAACACGTCAGACTTCTGGAACGGCCAGGGCAAACGACCCTTAGCTCCTTGGAACGTTATGGACTGTCTCAACAACGCAGCCGAGCCCTATGAAAGAGGGTGCCAAGCAAGAATCGAATTCGGAAAAAACATACCCGACCAGATCTGCTCACCAGCTGACTTTTACCACTCCATACTAATATCCAACCCGGAGGACTACCAATTTACACTAAGTGAGCTTTCACGCACCTACCACTGGCAAGCCTGGGATCACCAAAGCGGTAATAGAACCATGATGGACGCCGTACGTATGGACTTCAAAATTAACATTCCAGCACTCAGAGACAGACAAGGAGACAAATCACTCGACGGATTCATGTTCAACTACGCCTCCTCCGTCAGGGACTGGTGCGGCTCCTTCGGCGGAGTAGAAGTACCATTCTCCTGCTCCACACACGGCTTCAAAAACTACTACCTACCCGAAGGCGCCTAAACCTTCCTTATCCGCTCACTCGTAGCAATTAAGGCATATACCTAAGATGAACCCACTCACTACTCATTATCTCCCCACACACTATCTCCCCACTCCTGGGAATTAATTAGGGGACTCCTGGGATTATTTGCGCGCACACGTGTGTGGCGCGCGCTCCCATTTTTCAATATTTGATCGTCATTGTTTTTGGTATTGAGTCGCTTGCCGCGAACCCGACTCAGCGACAGGACCAGCGAGTGGAATGATTTGGAGTTGGCTTCATACGGTCGACTTCATGTGGTTGGCTTTGTTGGCTTGACTTAGTTATCTTGCTTGTCTGGTGGTCGCTTGTCTGGTGGTAGGTAGCGCGTGTGTAAGTCAAGAGTGGTTGGTCTTTTGTAGCGAAAATAGGAAGAGGTCCTTCCCCCGCCAGAGTTTGCCGAACCAGGAGAGTTCGGGGCGCGTGAGGTCGTCGGTGGGGTTGGTGGTGAAGAGCCAGGGTGGCGTGGGATTGTTGTGGCAACGGAAAAGTGTTTTGGAGAGCGGACGGACGACGCAGGAGCTGAGGTACTCCATGTACTGTCGTTGGTCAGAGAGGAGTCGGAGTTGGCCATTGTTGGCTAGCGCTTGATGAACGAGTGTCAGCAGCGATTGGCTGATCCAGCCGTCTTCCTTGACGGCTGGCGGTTCGGGGAAGTGGATAGATATACGTCGACAATCGCGCAAAAAGCTGCGCAAGACCTCCGCCCCGTCACCACCGAGCAGAGCCACATGTCGTGTACCCGTGGCGATACGTCCCCGGATCCGATTCCAACGTGACCAGCGCAACTCATTCACAACAAAGAATGCACACTCTCCACACACATCTGCCGCCCAATCGCCATCCCCCGCTCCCAACTCTGCCTCCGTCGCGCCCGCGCTCGCAACCAATAAACGACGTACTAGGGCCTCCCGTCGGGATACCTCGACGGCTGCCGCACTCCACTCCGAGACCGAAGCCGTGGTCGGAGCTTCGGATTGGATCCCGGCTTCGGATTGGATCCCGGCTTCGGGTTGGATCCCGGCTTCGGATTGGATCCCGGCTTCGGATTGGATCCCGGCCGCAATTGAACAAAGAACCTCCGCGGTCGCCGGCCACTCCCCATTGGGCGCCCACTGCGCTAGCGCGTGGCCGTAGACGCAGTGCCACACGCCCGCGGCACTCCGATGGCTCCAGACCGCCGGGGCCATGCCCGGAATGAGAACCGTGTCCGGCGCTCGGTACAAACACAAGTCCAATACACACTCCGCCGCCGCGTCCGACGCCCACTTGGCGCGCGTCCGCTCCAACTCTTCCCGCAACCGCTCGTGCTTGAACCGCGAGAACAACCTCAATGACCGACCATAGTCCGCGTCGTCTCGCTCCGCCAGGTCGTCCGCCGGGTCGTCCGCCAGGTCGTCCGCCGGGGCGTCCGCCGGGTCGTCCGCCTGGTCCGACGCTGGGCTGCATTCAAGTTGGTCCAGGAGGCAAGCGGCCGCCTCCAGGCAACATTCCGCCTCTTGACGTAACGCGGGGTCCTCGTGCATGTCCAGCAGCAGCGACAGAGTGTGGCCATGGGCGGCGAGTCGGATGAGACGCTGTGTGGCGTCAGTGGTGGCCGCATCAGCTTCGAATAGTGTGCGGTGCTGACGGTAGACAGTTTGTGCGAGTGTGTCCGCGGTTCGGTCGCCTGCAGCGGCGCGCGAACCCGGTTCGCGGCGGAGAGAGTGTAGTCCGTGTGCAAGTTCGACGAGGAGTTGGACGCAGGTTGCGTCGAGAGTGACGTCCGCTCGCTGCGCCAGCCAGAGGCTCTCGAGCGCCCAGCCGGTTTTTAGAGCGCCTCGGAGCCAAGCGCTGAACACACGCGCCCCGACTCCGCCGCTGATGACGGCACATTGACGCAGCACCGCATAGGCACTCGACATGTCCAACGCGTCGCCCCAACCCTGCACCAGCAACGTCGCCACAGCCGCCGTGCGCGCGCCCGCCATGGCTGCACCCGCCACCGGTTTGTCGAAGCCCGCGGCCGCGGCGTACCGGGTTGCCGCCGCCATGTTCCCGCAGCGGGCGCACACCTTCGCCATCTTCAACCACGTCCCCGGCCGCGGTGCCAGCCCTTCGTCTTCCAGACGCTGCAGGTACTTAAATGCCTCGCCGAATTTCTTTCGACGACTCGCCCGCTCCATGCCGCGATGCATCGCCGCGTACAATGCCTGCGCGTCCCGCCCGCTCGGCTTCCGCCCACGGCCTCCCTGCTTCCCTCCCCGGGGTTGCTTCCGAGCCTCGTTCTTGGCTTCGTCGCCCGGCTGCTTCCGTGTTTTGCCTGACTTCCGCGCCTTGATCTTGGCCGTGTTCCTTGCCTGGTTCCTCGCGTCGGCAGGCTGCTTGCTCGCCTTGCCTTTCGGCTCGCCGGCTTTATGGTGGGTGGGTTTATCGGCTGCGGGTAGACCCATATATTCTTGACGGAAAATGTTCCGCAGCTGTTGCGAGAGGTGTCGCCGGAAGGAAGATCTGGACGAGAAGGAAGTGATCGTGAAGAAGACGGTCCCGGAGGAGAACTCGGCGTACACGCCGTTGGACAGCGATGCAGTCAAGGCGGAGCGGCGGCCGGAGACTGAGCTGCCGGGGCTCACGAAGGAGGCGCTGAAGCGGATCACGCTCGATGTCTGGAAACGCGGCCAGCACGGCGTCACCATGTCGGTCTTTGCCAACGCGGACCTAACCACAGCCTTCAGCGCGGTCTTCAAAATCACGTCCGGTCTCGTAAGTGAGGGAAGGTGTGACGATGGTTGTGTTTGTAGAACGTCATTGTCACTCGGTTGGTGGACAGTGACACACCGGGGCACCTGACGGTGGTGGAGTTTCCGCTGAGTGCCGTGGCGGCGTTGTACGAGGGGCCGTGTTTGCGGACGCCGTCGGCGGCGGCTGTGGGGTTGGAGGATGGGGCTGGAGACAAGCCGGCAGCGAACGAGTTGGACTGGAGTGCTCAGGAGGAGTTGCTGGCGCGGAGCCTGCAGTTGGTCCTATCACCGCCGAAGGGCGGGGTTCACTCAGTGTGCCTGATCTGTACCGGGGTCAAGGAGCGTCGCGAGTTGTTCGGCGCTCTCTCCGTCTTGAAGTACATCGCTATCAAACGCACGCGGAACGAGGCTCCCGGGAGGCCCACCAAAGAGAAGCTGTTGTCGGGGAAGACGACGGGTGCCGAGGACATTTGACATGCAGACTTAGTCCCGATATGATTCGTCTGTTGGTGCGAGTCGTGAGTGAGGTCGTCTCGCCGAATTGCATCGTTGAGTGAGATCGTCTCGTTGAGTGAGATCGTCTCGTCCGGCTTACGACCATCTCCTTGAGATCCCTGCGGGTGGGCGCTGTGCTCACGACGGTTGCTGTGCTCACGACGGTTGTTGTTTTAGCGATGCAGTCGGGCGGTTGCGGCAAGACTGTCGGAGTTGGTGGATGAGGTCACGAAGGAGGCTTTTTTTGGACCTCGGCACCGAGTGTGTGAGGTCAGCAGCGAGTGGAGTGGATTGAGCACGGGGTGCCGAGTGGAGTGGATTGAGCACGGGGTGCCGAGTGGAGTGGATTGGGGGAGGTCGGGTGAGTTAAAAGTTGGTTTCCGCGAGAGCTATAAGTCTGTTTGCAAGGTGCTGGAACTGGTTGCGGAGGGCGAGGTCGAGGGTATGTAGGTGGAGGATGCCTTGCAGGACGTCGTTTTCATCGGAGGGCGAAGCGTTGGTCATGAGCATGACGACTTGGACTTGGTCGAGGATGTGGGATGCCCCGTGTCCGTTTTGGAGCACTTGGTTTATGGCTTGTATGAGGTCGTGCGAGTGGGCGTGGTTTACGATGCAAGCAATAGTACCGTCGGTAAGAGGCGCGGCGAGGATATATTGTTTCATGGGTATTCCGTGCGTGAGAAGGCCCGTGACGGCAGCGTTGATGAAGAGGTAGAGGGGTAGTCGCGCGTCGGGGCTGGAGCTTTTGATGGTGAGTATTATGTGAAGTTGCTGCATCGGGAATTCCTCCATGGATATACACGTTTTAAGTACTTCGCTGATGCGTATCTCGAATCGCTGGTAGTGCACGTCGTTGCCACCGTTCTCAATGAACACCTGAAGACACAGCCCGTCGTAGTGGACATTCCGTGACAACTCTCGAGGGCCCTTTATTATACACACTACCGCTTCGTCTTCGTACGACCACTCGCTACTACCACACGCTAAACTGCATACATCATGTTAAGAAAGCGCACACACTGGGGGCTATATCAAGTGTGTGCGGGGGGCACACTTATGGCGGGGGGTATATCAAGTGTGTGCGGGGAGCGCATAAAGTACGTGACGAGTAAGAATGGTGCGTTGCCTTACTCTAATGGTTTTAGACATATCTCCACACGCGACGGTTCGAACGCCCGTACTTCGGCTGTCATTAGAAAAGAATTGTCCCCTTCCCCTTTCCCTTCCCCTTTCCCTTTCCCTTTCCCTTTCCCCTTCCCCTTTCCCTTTAAGCTTTTGTCAAGAGACCCTATCGACCCTGTCATTGTTATGTACCCTGTCATTGTTATGGACCCTGTCATTGTTATGGACCCTGCCTGTATTGTTGGTATTGTTGGGTTGTTGGTTGTAAGAAACTTTACGTAATGTTTTTAGGCTAGAAATAATTTGAATTCTTGTATGACAGTGTTAGCTATTTGTGGAGATAGTCCTAGGTATGTTTGTGGATTGATTGTGGAAAGAAATTGAAAGTCTTGTTGTGATAGAATGGGTTGTAATGTTTTGAGTAGTTCATTCAAGTGTTGTCGAATATCATGGTCATTAGGTTTTCCTCTAGTAATAAGTTTGAGTAGAGTATAGGGGTCTTGTATATCTTTAGGATACTTCCGAAGGATACATTGTATGGGTTCTGAGATTAGTTCAGGATGATTATTGAGCTCTTGTAGGGCTATATGTGTATTAAAGTCACATCTACGTATACCGACAATGATTGACTTGATAGCAATTGTAGTGTAGCCGAATATCATGCCCAAATTACGCATGACCGTTGAGTCACTAAGATCACGTTGCATTCTTGAGATTAAAAGTTTGTCCGTCATGGTACGAATTAACCCGTTGGCAATAACCAAATTACCTTCGGCATTTTCAAAATGAATGGGATTTATTTTATGCGGCATTGTGCTAGAACCAACTTCATTTTTCACCAACTTCAAGTTAAGAATATTTCGACTTATGTACAACCACATATCTCTACATAGATCCAATAACACAAGGTTCTGACGTTCCAAGCACTGTAGACATTCCACTATCCATTCCCGATTAGGTATTTGCGTAGTACATAAATCCAATCGAAACTCTATTTCCTCTCCAACCTCATGATTCTGGAGTCCAGAAACAAAGGACTTGCACGCTGATAACCAATCAACGTCAGGGTAGGCAGCACATAACGCCGCATGGCTCCCCACTGCGCCACCAAATTTTACAAACACGTGTGTGCGAGGAAATTTAGTAAACCAACAAACCTGCAGACGGCTCAGGAACACGCACAACTCCTTTCCAAAAGTCGTCGGAGTCGCCGGCTGGCCATGCGTCATTGACATCAACGCGCTACCCACAGTGGTCTCCGCCATAGCTACCAAACAATTACTTAGTTCAATTTGATCCCGCCGTAAAACTCCACACCAAACGCGACAGAACATTAGGGCGTAAGCTGCACCAGTCACGTCTTCGGATGTCAGACCCATATGACAAAGTTCCGCGATCTCGCTCAAACCAGCATCCTTCAATAACTAAATAAACAACATTTGAAAGGCCACCGAAAAACACGGTGAAGGTAATGGTCGGTCGGTAATGGTCGGTCGTGAATGGTCGGTCGTGAATGGTCCTACACATTCTCGTATCGCCAATTCAACAGCTTTTGTGTCATGATTGGTGATAGATTCAATCTGCTTGACTCTATTGACTAGTTCTATACTATCAAGACTGTGCCACACATCATCAAGTCTTTTCACTGTCTCTTCACCGTCGGGCCTTACTATCGCGATCAGATGTTTGAGCCATCTGCATTCCACACTAAGCTTCGTGAGAATGAGCTGTCTCTCTGTGAACCCTGTCTGCCGTATGCCGTCAACCTTTGTCCCGTACCGTCCATCTATAGGGCAAAGGGCATCCAGAGGGTTATCAGAGGTGGTAGAACTATCATTAGGAGTAGAACTATCATTAGGAGTAGAACTATCATTAGGAGTATCTAGCAGTTTGAAGCCATCTAGCAGCTTGGAGCTATCTAGCAGCTTGGAGCTATCCAGCCCAGAGTCAGCCATATGGTTTTGGGAGTATGGAAAAAAAACGGAGTTAGACGGAAACAGACTTGAAGCCGGACTTGAAGTGGCGAGCAACGCTCCGCATATGGCGCGTACGACCGGTACCAGTCGTGCGGCGACGCAAGGCCTTCGCCGACCAGTTGTAGCGGCGCATCTTAGCATCTGGGAATCCTGCATAGACACAATTATTCACATTCGCACACAGGTGTGCGCCAAAGTCATTCGCACACAGGCGTGTGTAGAGTCCAACCGAGTGTTCCGCCGCAGGCGTGTGTAGAGTCCAACCAAGTGTTCCGCCGCAGGCGTGTGTAGAGTCCAACCAAGTGTTCCGCCAGTGGACTGGCTTGGCTATCCAATGCAATAGAGACTACGAATTCAATCTTACCACAAGAAGCGCATCTCTGCTTTTGGATATGGAAAGAGTGCTTGCCGCACCTTTCGCACATCTTGTGGCTCTTCTTGTTGCGCAAGCCGAAGGAACCGGTACCCTTGCCACACTTTCCCATCCTGTTAGAACTTGCTCCTCAAAAAAAAGTAGGTGTTGACAGAAACAGACCCGTTATTTTTTTTTGGGCTGTAGGAAGTGGTTGGTAACATATCGACAACGGCTCTGGGCGGGGTGAAGAATGGAGCTGTGATGAGGCTAGGCGGAGTACGTGGGAGACGACCAGGACGCGGCGGAGTACGTGGGAGACGACCAGGACGTGGGAGATTTATGTGACAGTGTCATTGTTGGGGAAGAGGGGTACCGGGTAAGGGGGATATTGGAGAAAGGGGATGTTGGGGAAAGGGGAAAGGGGTAAGGGGGATATTGGAGAAAGGGGATATTGGGGAAAGGGGGGATACTGGGGAAAGGCAATTTTTATGTTGAGTGAGATGTTGGCTGAGGAGTTGGAGTTGCTGCAAGTATTGTATGAGGGTAGTTTTCAAAGTTTCGTGGAGAACAACAAATTAGTCGTACGCGTGGGTGGTCTGGAATGCGAAGAGTGGATCGCCTTCATAGCTGGTAAGGAGCTGCTGGCGGAGGTCAGTCCTGAAATTACAGTGTGCGTGATTATGACTAACCAGGAGGAGGCGGAGAAAGAAAAGTCGGAGACTATGGACCAGCGGAAGGGTAAGGGAGGCAAAAACCCGGGCAAGGGTAAGGGAGGCAAAAACCCAGGCAAAAACCCAGGCAAGAAGACTCTAGACGAACAGCGGCCAGAGAGTTGGCCAGAGTGGTTGGTGGACGTGCAGATAGACGCTCCGTGGTTGGCTCCGGATTTGCTAAACTTGTTATCCGTCAAATGTGGACAGGCAGCAATTGAGGGAATGGAAGGCTTGACGCCGGTCACAAGTGTTATTGATTGCGTGGTACAGGAGTGTAGCGCACAAGCTTTAATCGAATACTATAAACAGAAGAAAAGTCTCCGGCGAGATGAACCACAGCAGCCTAAGGCTCCGGACTTGAGTCCCATGGATGATGACGTCGTCGGAACCGAGATGCGCTTGGTAAGAATCGAACCCGGGACTTCAAGTCGGAGTTTTCGGAAACAAATTCCCATCCATCATGGCCATGAATTGATCGACAGAAAATCAATATTCATGGCGCACCTTGCCCCGGTGCGCGACAAAAACGACGTACGCCCCATCATTTGTAGCGGGGGTCCCTATCCACCCTCTCTGTCTTCCCACCCGTGTTACATCCCACCCTCTTCCTGCTGTCCTTTAGCACTCCTCGTGCTCTTGCATGACGTTCCACTCCTGCATGACGTTCCACTCCTGCATGACGTTCCTGCAGATCAATGACGTGCTGAATACACTCTCGTCGAACAATAAGTATGCGCGCGCAACTCATAACATGGTCAGCTATCGCCTGGTGAATTCGGAGAGCAAGATCTGCGTCCAAGATCATGACTCAGATGGGGAGGCTAATGCGGGTTCCAATATGCAGTGGCTCATGAACGTGCTCAAAGTAGAAAATGTTGTCGTTATAGTCTCCAGATGGTATGGAGGCATTCACCTTGGACCAGATCGATTCAAGCACATCTATGCGTTGACACGAGCGATCCTCGACGAGCACGGCTACATAAATTCAGGGCATTAAAAATTCAACCTGATGAGCTTTTGTAGCTACGCCTCCACCTGCTGCAGTGATTCCGAGGCGGAAAGGACCATCCCTTATATGCGGTCTAGCTTTACCTTGGACGAGTCACCAGATGACTTATTGGTCTCAGACCAACAGGGGTTACCGTCTAACCCACCATATATACCGGATTCTGCTTACGACCACGACTTGGCACACGACCCGGAGCTAGCCCATGGGCGTTGGAGCGCCCACGACTGCTGGATCCAACGCGGCCATTACGACCCCTCAATCGACCACAGCCGCCAGCGCGCCTTGGATGAATATTTTGGCTCCTTACCTGAGGAAATTAGACCTGACAAAGACATTGACATTGACGAGTCTGCCGGCTGGCAGCTTAGTCCTGACCTCTCTCCTTCAACCCACATAACGCCACGATCTGGTAGCAGGGAATCACCATCTGGCAGCAGGGAATCACGATCCAACAGGGAGTCATGGATTTTCAATTTTGGTTTGTGACCAAATTTAACGCGCACTTTTCATATATATTTATAGAACCGAAAGATGAGAATAATTATGGAGCATTCTTGTAGGTAGAATTTTATGGGGCAAGAGCCTGGGTCGACTAAACAGGAACAGGATGGCACGGAAGTAGTTTAACGGGATATCGGTCAGTAGGCAAGAGTTAGTGGGACCATGACCCGAGGTTGAATCAGGGAAGAACAACCCATAATGTTGCAGTAACAATGGTCCCAGTCGAGGACGACATAATGAAGTTGGGCTTTGCGGAGGGGGCGTAAAGTGTTTCGAATTAAAAGCTAGTAACTCCTCCTTCACCGTGTCGTAACGGAGTGTTTTTTTTTGAGTTTTTTCAGGGAGGCTGATTCGGGTCTGAACAGACTGACCGAGAAAAATGTTTTATCGCTGGCGATGAAGGCAGGCGGCACAGCCCTTCACACCACAGCACTTGGTTTTTGGCATCACAGCGATCAAGTCGTTTGGTGGCAACTAACATACGGCGAAAAAAATCACCGATTGATTGACCGTTCGATTTGTGTGGAATGACCCTGTTGTGCATGGCTCGCTTGCTGTGTTGAGGTTAGCAACGCAGAGTGTTGACCCAGCAAAGTCTCTCCCTTCATAATAGCGTGTTTGTGATCAGCACTTCTCTTCCAGGTCCATCGTTTCGTCTTCGATACGGAGGAGTAACCGGACAGTGGCGATCACGTCACGGTCGCGGATACCTGTCGTTCTGGGCCGTCAAGTTTGTCGCCTTTTAATGTACATTTCAATGTAGTGTCGTCTTGTTGCACACCTGATGTTCCGGACGTTTCGCCTTCTGTTCCGTCTTCCGTTCCGCCTTCCGTTCGGCCTTCCGCATCACTATGTTGGTGGCCTGGAGCTTCGCCTTCGGGAAGGTGGGATTCGTCTGGTTCCTCGTCGGCAGCGTCGGGCGAGTTTTCATCCTCATCTTCATCGTTCGCGGCGGTGCCGAGTATCTGTTGCATGAGGCTCGCTTGTCCGTCGAGGGCTACATCGTCAGGGTGTATGAAGACTTGGCGATCTGTCTCTTCGGGTAGTTGGGCAGTGAAGGGTATGTCGACGGTCCTATCGCTGCCGAAACAACAATCAGCAAGACAGACGGCAGTCAGCGTCCACTGTAAGGGTTTGAGTACGGGGAATTGTATAAGTACTTCAACGACTTTTTGGTTGTCTTGTACGGCTTTGTAGCCGTAGAGTTCATTCGTTTGTTTATCTGCGATGAATACGAACCATTCTTCCTGGCGCTTGTCGGGGAAGTACGGCGCGTGAATGTCGCCCTGTGCGTCACCGTCGTTGAGATTCTGGCGTGTGATCGTGAGTCTGCAAGTGGCAATATCTCCTACACAAATTTCTTTCTCGTCCTCCACGTAAACAGCGCCTTCAAACTTTATGTTTGGCAAAACCTGGAACATACAGCTCACATCCTGCACCTCGTCCGGACTCAGACTCTGGAGCGCGGTTTCTTTGTGCTCAAGCGCTACCTGCGTCAAGGCATGGAAGTCCGAGGGTTTAAATTGTTGAACTGAATTTAATAGCACACGCGCGCGCGCTAATTTTTCATCTTTGTTCCGGCCGCTGGGGTTAAATATATGGGGCACTTGGATGACGGGGAGGCTTCCGATTTCGACGGCCTGAAAGAGACACTTACGTACAGCCAAGATCGCCTGGATGGTGGGTATCCAATTGTTGATGAAGGCAATATCGAGCATGGCCCTTGATACCTGGACGGCCTTGCGGAGAATGTACCTGGTTTCGTGCTGAAATTTGGGTGCTAGAGTGGGCGTTTCGCGGGCAAGATAGATGTAGATGAGAAGACATGCCTTCATGACTTTACTATTTAGTGTACCCATTCGGTCCATTTCCTTGCCATTGCATTTGGTTTTGAGCATGTCCATTTCCTCTACGCTAATCTCTCGGACGCCGTTTCGTGGTCGGCCATAGTCGTCGAATGCGGGAGCATTTCGTATCTCATGGGATGCGGCGAGCATAGCAATAACACGGTGAGCTGTGAGTTTGGGTTGCATGGTGCCAGATACCATGTTGATGGTCTCTTTATGTAGCCCGTAGTGGCTGACGTATCTGCTGATGTGATAATAGTAGAGTAGAAAGCAGCCAGGTACAACAACAAGGAGTCCAATAAAGAAGGTAGCAAGAATGAAGAGCTGGTAGTTTTCTTCAAGCATAAAGGTAGGTAGTCCGATACCAACACGCATAAGGCCCTGACGACCGTCCGGATTACCGAATCTTTCAAAGTTCTTTTTAGCAACCTCATCCGTCAGAGTATGATATGCCTTCGATATCAATACAAACTTGGCCGCAGCTGAAGCATCATTCGGGTTTTTATCGGGGTGGAACTTCAGGGACATTGTTCGGAATGCTTTCTTCACGTCACGAGCACTCGCTGTTTCCGTAATATTCAAAATCTCCCATGGATTAAACGATGCTACTGATGGCATTGCACTTAAGAAGTGTGTGCATATAAACCAGAATAATACCGACAATGATGCAATGCACAATAACTGCCAACGGTCACTCGACGTACCCAAGAAACGTAACCACAATGGCCGCTCTGACTCCGCCTCTAACATCGCTCTCTTCTTCTCACATAACGAACAACGACATGCCCGCCCACTGTCCTCCTTCTGTCCAGAGCCCCATAACAACGCACTCAACTGGCTGCGAATATGCTGAACATGGATACATGGATACCGGAACATACACGCGCGGCAACAAAAAGTGTGTGAGCACACACTCTGAAGTAAGCGGGACCCGTGCAAGTGCTAATTACCCGTGCAAGTGCTAGTGACCCATTACCAATCTCGCTTCAAAATAAGTACACGCCCACGGGATTAACGCGCACGCGATGAAGGTCGCCGCAAAATAGGCAAAGGCCGAATCGTCATAATTCAACGGACTTCCGTCACCATTGTCCTTCGTAAAGGCGTCTTTGAAGGACATTATATAAAAAACCAAGCCGCCCAGACCACCTGCTACGCACACCACCATGCTCAACCGCGTTTTACCAACTTGCCCTTCTCTTTCCTCGTGCTGATCATCTTAAAGTTGAATTCCTGCGGATTTCGCAGGGCTGCTTTCTTGTGTAATGTGTCTACAACAACAGACGAAATATACTGAGGATGGGAAGAGGGATGGCGGAGGGGTACTCAAGACGGAGGGGTGCTCAAGACGGAGGGGTGCTCAAGACGGAGGGGTGGAGGGGTGGAGGGGTGCTCAAGACGGAGGGGTGCTCAAGAGGGGAGGGGTGCTCAAGATGGGAGGGGTGCTCAACAGGGGGAAGCCTTACTGAGAGTTTGCTGCTGTTTCTTCAGCGTCTTCGCTCGCTTCAAAAACTGGTCCCGGTTCTCCAACGGGCCGTGCTTGGCCTTGGCGGCGGGCGTGGCCCTCTCCAGGTGAACTCGACGCTTTACCGCGTGCTTGGAACTCGCCATCGAAAAACGCGGCCTTTTTTTAAATTGAGCGTGTTCGAACCCCAGGTCCCGCGTTCGAAACCGAGTTGTGCATGACGCAAGACCGTAGTAACGCAGGCGCAGGCACCAACGGATTGTGCGCGGCAACATCTCCGTCATGGGTCCCCCTCACGTTTGGTCCCCCTCACGTTTGACAAATTCCCAACTTGGGTGAACAGCATACTGAGGAAGCGCTCCATCTTGACAGCGGCCTGCCAACCTCGCAGCAATTGCTAATTTTATCGAGCTTTTCCGGCTGTTGCGTGCGCCACCCAAGGCCGGTAGTTCAGTGAATACTCCCCGACATCACTCCCCGAGTGAAAAAAAGCTTCAGGTTGTGGAGGCTCCCGACTGACCTCGGACTTCCGACTGATCTCGTGACCGCCTCCCTGCTGTGGGCGCAAGGGAACCAGTCGAACTGCTCCGCACAAGGGGACCTGCTCCCAGCCATTCATCGTTGCCTGTCGTTTGGGTGCCGTCATATATACTACCGCGACATTACCGCACGCTTCACACCAGTTCATAGAAGTCAGCTCATTGACCTGCCGGCTCATTGAACCACAAAAGAATTAACATCGTGCAGAATCGAACCACACCTCCAATACAGGCTGGTAATTTCGTTGAGAAATAGAGGTCTGGATTCGGTCAGGAAACTACTATGTCAAGCAAAAAGACCGCTTTAGAGAGAGGCGGCTAGGCTGCGCTAATATGGTCCTTTTTCATGTCCGATGCGAAAGCTGCGTTGAACTGTTCCAAAAACCAACAGGGCACAACGCAGTCCTTTTTTAGAGTAACAGGACAAAAAAAGTGTGTGTCCAACAAACACGCGCGGATATATATTTTGAAGCTTCCCGCCCAAATAGTCGCATGATTAATAAATAATTCATTTCGTTTCAGGAGCAATGTCAAACAGAATGCCAGCTGAAGAATTCCGTCAAATGGCTACGGTTTTACCTGACGGCACGGTGGATCTGGATGACATTTTGTTGAAATTACGGAGCCATGTGGGCGTCACTCCTGGTGCTATACCGCACCGGTCGCATGCCGTTCTGGTGGATTGCGAGACTGCTTTCCAGGAGGAGTATGTACTTAGGGAGGATAGGAGTATATCACCGAAAATGCTAATAAAGCTGATGGGATGGTTGGCTCCCGTTGAGTTCAGTACAGCTGTCGGCGCTTTGACCCAGTCGAGCGGTTGGGGTAAGTCCCGTTTGTTTGCTGAGGTGGGAAAGACATATCGGTCTTTTTACATCAGTATGAGCCAAAGTTCAAACACCTTCCCCCGGCAGACGGGGAGCTTCACGCCGCTCCAAAAAATACTCCGGGCTTATGTCGATGCAGATTTGATTGTGAGTCACATCATGAAGTGTCTAGCGTCATACATCCGCAGTACCCTTGACGATGAGCACCTCAGATCAATGACCCCGACTGAGTGGTTCCATTACCAATTGATGAACTGGCACCCGACATACGACATGGCGGATGGTACGACGCTACCGCCTCTTGCACTGGTGGATGCCACCGCTGATCTGAAACTCCAAATAAAGCGGTTTACGCAACAGTTCAAGGTCCCTTATGTCTTGTTCATGTGCGATGAGGCAGCAGCTTTGCTTACTCCCTCCCAGACTGACCCCTTTTGTCCTGTCTTTCGTCTCTTTCGAAGAGCGTTCGCCGTGCCGGGAATCACTGCCTGCTTTGCAAGTACCAATTCTCGTGTTCAGAACTTCGCCCCCGCACTCCATGACGACGACTCCTACAAGCGATACTTATCAATGGTGCGCACGGACTCGTCCATTCCGATTGCTCCTGTCTTGTCTGTCGGAGTACCGGACTGCGGAGTCCAAGACGCTCCGTATCCGGTCGCTATGCACGACCTGCTGTCCGTTGAGTTTCTTTCCCGTTTCGGTCGCCCACTGTGGTTTGCATTTTCCAGACACTTTGATGAGAGCTACAAACAACAAGGTCACAAGGCCCTTACCGCTATAGCCACCAGCAAGTTGATTGGAAAATCGGACCCGGGTCTTGGAGTGCCCGCAGCCGTCATGGTCGTCGCTTGTGTGAGGATAACCCCGTCCATTCAGTTGGCAGAACAGCTCGTATGCAGTCACATGGCTACACTGCTCCATGTGTCGAAGAACCGAGAGCTACTGTACGTGGCGTACGGGTCTGAACCGTACCTAGCCGAGGCAGCCATTCAGCACATCACCCTGAACTTGACGGCTGTCCTGCATCAGTTTCTCAAGTTGGTCGGCAGCCAGGCAATCGATAAAGGGCGAATGGGAGAAGTTAT